TGTTGCATTGTAAATTTTGGTCAATGACATGAGACAATGTATATGTGAACTGCTGTATGAAAAGTGAATTTACTCTGTAAATCTTCACCCAAATCAAAATAAAATTTATTAAAAAAAAAAGACTTCTTCAAAACAGTCAAAACAGAACCTACAGATTGGGAAAAATTATCTGGCAATGACATATCTGACAAGGGATTTATCTCTAAAATTTATAGAAAACTCCAACACCTCAACAACAAAAAGACAAATAATCCAATTAAAAAATGGGCAGAAGATAGGAATAGACACTTCACCAAAGAGGATATTCAGGTGGCCAGCAAATATATTGAGAAATGTTCATGATCATTAGCCATCAGAGAGATGCAAATCAAAACAACAATGAGATACCATCTCACCCAGCACTAATGGCAAAGTTCAACAAGACAGTAAATAACAAATGCTGGCAAGTATGTGGAGAGATTGGGATGCTCATACACTGCCAGTGGAATTGTCAACTGATACAACCACTGTGGAAAGCAGTATGGTGATTCCTTAAAAAGCTGAAATTAAAAATATCATTTGACCCAGCAATCCCATTACTTGGTTTATATCCTAAAGAAATGAAATCCAGGACAAGAGCAAATATATGCACACCCATGTTCATCTCAGTAGTATTTACAGTAGCCAAAAGATGGAAACAACCTATGTGCCCATCAACAGAAGAATGGATAACCAAACTATGGTACATACACACAATGGATTTCTCTGCAACACTAAAAAGTAGTGTGGAATCTGCAAAACATCACATAACATGGATGAACTTGGAAGAAATTATGCTGAGTGAAATAAGTCAATCACAGAAGGAAAAATATAGTATTAATTCATTATTGTAAAAAGTTAAGAAAAGGTTCATGTATGGATAGAAACTTTCTTTGTTATTTACCAGTGTTGGGAGGGGACAAGAGGAAAATTGCAAAAAAAAAAAAAATTTTAAATGTATTGACCCATGTCACTTTAATTTTATGTATTTCACTGACATAAATTATATTTCAATAAAATGTGTTAAAAAAAAAAAAAACAGACTTACTGGTGTGGTAGAGATGGTGGAACCACTAAGACTCTGGCCTTTAGACACTGTTCAAGCCTGGAACTGAATTCACTCCCATGGCTCAACTCAGCCAAACAATAGACAGGTTTATAAGGTCCACAACAATACCAAGAAGGTATCCACATATTAGAACAATTAACCATAGGAGATCAAAAGGACAGCATTTGCCCAGGGATTTAGCTCAGAAGGCAGGAAGAGATAGGAAAGAAAGATGAAGGGAATTGGTAAACACAGGGAGGAAGTGAGAAGAGTACTGTTACAGTGCGGGGATTGCAATGAAAGTCACAATACAAAATGTGTGTGAATTGTGGAATGAAAAATGAATTTGCTCTATAAACTTTCAGTCAAATCAAATATAAAATGAAAAGGTAATAAACAAAAAAAAATTGGTTTAATTTTTTTTCCAGTCCTACAAAATTATAAAGAAATGCTTTCTGGGATTTTATAAGGTAAAATTCTTAATAGAGAGTGATAGAAAAGTGGTAAAACTGACCCTTGTCAAAGGTGGAAAACTTAAAAGACTTGGAAAAACAAGGCAGTCCCGAGTTCTAGCTCTCATAAGTTTCACTGTATATAGAAGAGGACTTGAAGTGCTTACTGATGAAGCTCAAAGACTGCAGCCTTAAGTCTGGATTACACTTCCCAAACAAACCTACTGCCATCAAGTCGATTCCGACTCATAGCAACCCGCATTGGGTTCTACGGCTGTGAATCTTTGTGGAAGTAGATTGTTTCATCTTTCTCCTACAGAGCAGCTGGTGGGTTTGACCCACCAACTTTCTGGTTAGCAGCAAATTGCCTTACCTGTACTATCCCTCACAACTGGACCAATAAGCAACATCATGATAAATAGAGAAAAACTGAACTTGTCAATGATTTCATTTCACTTCAATCCACAATCAGCACCCAGGAAAGCAGCAGTCAAGAAATGAAACGATGTATTGTGTTATGCAAATCTGCTGCATAATACCTCTTTGAAGTGTTTAAAAGCAAAGATTGACTTTGTGGATCTTTTTGGGTATGCCTGACCCAAGCCATGGTATTTTCAATAGCTTCATATGCATGCCACTCTGGACAATGAATTAGGAAAAGCAAAGATTTAATGTACTCTAATTATTGTGTTGACAAAGAATATTGACTATCCCATGGACTGCCAGAAGAACAAACAAATCTCTCATGGAAAAAAAAAAAAAAATGTAGCCAGAATGTTCCTTAGAAGTGAGGATGGTGAGACTTTGTCTTACTTACTTTGGACATATTATCAGAAGGGCCCAGTCCCTGGAGAACAGCGTGTGGAGTAAAGTAGAGGTCAACAAAAAAGAGGAAGACCCTCAATTAGATGGACTGCAACAATGGGCTGAAACATAAAAAGAATTGTGAGGATGGTGTGAGACTGGGCAGTGTTTTATTCTGATGTGCATGTGGTGACTATAAGTTAGAATTCACTTGAAAAAGATAGAGATATATACATACACATATATTCACATACACACCCAAATAGAATACTATGTGGCTTTGCAAACAGTGATGTAGATCTATATTTATTGTCCTAGAAAGATTTCCTATTATACTGTTGAGTGAAAATAATAATGATGTAATTCCATGTTTTGTACAGTTGGAACACATAGTAGGAATAAAGAGTAATTGAATTTGCTAATGGTTCAAAGATTGAAGAATAATGTCTAGCTACATTAGAATAAAATGAAATACTTTCTAAAAATACACATCCCTACTTTTCATCCTAGATCAATTGAATTCATAGATCAGGAAAATACCAGGAATGTGTATTTTTATCAAGTTCCTCAGGTAATTTTCTTGTTCAGTTTCATTTTGGAATTACTAGCAGTAGTTCCAAATTAAGATATGATAGAATGTGGTGGCCTATTTACTGGAAGGGATGAAAGAGAATCATCCATTCAAAAAATCCTCATTAAGCACAAAAACAGACTGTTGTGATGGGCCTAAAGTGAGATACAAACAAGTATTCAGTTTTCTTTGATCTTTTGGAATAGGGGAATGACACTAACTCTTGAAATCCCAGTACCATGTTAATATTGGGCACTAAATAAATGGTACAGAAATTAAATGCAACTCTTTGAGAGGCAGTGGGTTGATGTGGGCTGGGACAGTGTGAAAGAGGAGAACTTGAATTGGGCCTCACTGGGTGGACAAATATGGATGGAATTGCAGGCATGAACCAGAGGTTTCTAGCTCTTTCTAAATAACTTGCCGTACCTGAGAGTATTTTGGTCTTTGCAAATAAACTTTTTGGGAGCTCTGGTAGCATAGTGCCTAAGGCACTTGACTGCTAACCAGAAGGCTGGTGGTTCAAACCCACCAGCCACTCCTTGGAAGGAAGGTTGGGCAATCTACTTCTGTAGTGATACTGCCTCAGAAATCCAAGGAGGGGTCGCTATGAGTCGGGTCCGACTCAAAGGCATATAACAACAACAATAACCTTTATGCTTTTTTGTTTTGTTTTCTATTAGGTACCAATTTCTGTAGCTACATCCACAAAGAAGGCCATTTTCATACAGGAAAGCATTAAACAACTTGAGAAAGAGCCCTTCAACCAGGAATCCCTGCCAGGTACCTCCAGGATCACTCCAGCAATGCTTTAAAGATTCCTTCTTCAGTGTCAACTGGCTAGACCTACTTTGTAACTCCACAAGTTGCTCCCCAAAAGTTCCATATCTCTGTATTAGGTTATCAGAAGCTACATGATGCTTCCCTCAAAGTTGCAAACCAAGAACACAGGGAGCTAGAAGGGCTCTTGAAGGTGACAATTACGTTGATTAAACTAGTGTAAGAGGCTGTGGATGGAAGTGTCTACAGGAACTCTCCAATCCAGATCCTGTTCTGATAACCTTTAATTATGTGGAGAGACATAATTGTAGGACAGAACAAACAAAAAATAATGATTGAAAATAAGTAACCAAACTGATGAGCGTTTTTCCTTTCTTAAAATTTATTTTGGAGACTGAACTGTGAAAACTTCCTTCTCTTGTGTTCATGTCTTGTTTTTATCTGCACTTTGCAGTATGGGCAAAGCTGTATCCCTATTCTGAAACAGCTCCAAAGTTTCCAAGTAACATTCATTCAAATATCACCAATATGCTGGCAGTTGCCAGAATTATATGTTTTTTAGGTCATATTCTCATAAAATTAACAATTTTAAAGTGTATCATTCAATGGCATTTAGCATATTCACAATCTGTGCAACCCCTGTTTCTGTCTAGTTCCAAAACATTTTATCACCCTAGAATACCATGTACTCATTAAGCAATCAGTCCTCATTTTGCTCTTCCCCCCTCCCCAGCCCCTGTCAACTACCAATATGCTATCCATCTCTATGATTTACCTATTTTGTATATTTCATAAATATGAAATCATTCAATATGTGACCTTTGTATCTGGCTTCTCATACTCCACATAATGTTTGAGAGGTTCATCCATACTGTAGCATTTGTCAATATTTCAATCTTTTTAATGGCTTCATCATATTCCATTATATGTATATAGCACAACTTGCTTATTTATTCATTTTTTGGTAGGAATTTTGGTTTTTCCACCTTTCGGCTATATAGTGCTACTATGGACGTTAGTGTATACGTATCTTTTAGAGTATCTACTTTCAATTCTTCTGGATATATACCTAGGAGTATTTGACTATTAATGAAAAGATTGGCAGTTCAAATACATCAGAGCTCCACAGGAGAAAGATGAGACAGTCTACTTCCATAAAGATGTACAGCCTTGGAAACCCTATGGGGCAGATATACTCTGTCCTAAAGGGTCACTGTGAGACAGAATCAACTCAATGGCAGTGCATTTTGTTTGGTTTTATAGTAATTCCATATTTGACTTCTTGAGGAGCCACCAAACTATTTTCCACAGAAGCTGAAGGATTCAGATTTGTGTCTTTAATCGAGACTTCTCCCTTCTACAGTCTGCTTGAGACCTCTATTTGAATAGCCTAAGGGCATCTTAGGGAGCTCTGGTAGCATAGTCCCTGAGGCACTTGACTGCAGTTCAAACCCAGTTCAAGGCCTTGGAAACCCAAGGAGGGGTCGCTATGAGTCGGGTCATAACAACAAGGGCATCTTAACCTCAACCTATTCAAATGGAATCCCTGATATTTGCCTTTAACCAATTTATTTTGTAGTCTTCCCATCTCATTAATGTCACCTCCATTCTTTCAGTCTCAGGCCAAAGCTCTTGGTGTCATTTGGTCTGTTGGCTTTTCATTTAAAATCAGTTTGAAATCAACCATTTCTCATCTCCCCTATTGGCAGCACTCTTGTCTAAGTTTCAATCATGTTTTGCCTGGATTATTGCAGTGGTCTGTTAAATGGTCTCTCTTCTGCTTTTGCCCTTCTGTAGCCTGTCCTCGACACTGAAGCCAGGTAACCCTGGCAAAACTCAAAATGTCTAGGGAGTGGCTTTCCATCTCAGTCACAGACATATCCAATGGGTTCCTCATTATTTTTCTCCTTTATACATTGTCCTTTCCACACCAGCCACACTGACCCCTTGCTCTTCAGGACATCAGGCATGGTCTCATTCACAACGTGATTTCTCTTTTGCTGATGGGAATATAACTCCAACCCTATATTCCTGCAGATTCCCTCTTTCTTCAGATCTTTACTCAAAAGTCATCTTTGCACATCTCGAGGAATATACTGAAAACTATAGAACTGTATACTTTCCATGAGCGAATTGTAGATTTTGTAAATTATATCTCATTAAAAATTTTAAAATACATTTATGTAAAGTATATACTAATTGAAGGGGAGGAGAAACCTCAGTCAGTGGCATCACTAGGGTTGGTATCACCCAATGTGATAAATCGTGGTATCACCATCACCACCACCACCACCCATGTACCTCCTTCCATATCAGACCACACAGAATTTTTAGTAATGTTTATTATCAGTTTTAATAACAGAATAACATGTGATAAATAGTTGCAAGTTGCTTAAATGTAATATTTCTTAGATTATGTGAATGCTAACAAAAAAATGTTATGTAAAATCTTTCTACATTGAATTACAACATTAGTTACAAAATTATTAGCAACTAAACAGAGCCTTTTTGATTTTTCTCCTTTTAATTACTACATCATTCTCAAAAAAGTTAAAGATTCACAAATACTAATAACCATAATATTGTAGCTAAAACACTAGAAAATTTGACAAAATCAGCAAGTATAAAAATACCATGAGAGCAACAAAAGCAACAGTGTGTGCTTGTAGTGCATGCAGATGTAACCACGTAATTAGAAGCATCATTGTAATTGTGTAATAATGACAACTCTGACTAGAGCCCATTAGGAGGCTGAAAAAGTAAATTAACATAGAGTTTTAACATTGTAGGTATATTGATAGATGTAAACAGGGCTTATGAAAAATGTTTTTGTAACTATAAATAACTACAGAGATTTTTTTTTAAAAATAATATTTTCTGCTGAAACACTGCACAAAATTTATACACTGTAATTTTGGAGTAGCTCCTCTGGCAGTGTCTGTAGTGTGATCTGCACTCCACTACCACCACAGCCACTGTTCTCATTAAGGCCTTTTCCAGCCATCCTATTTATACTTCATCACCATCACTTACAACATTTCTTGCCCCCCTTCTATGTTACTCCCCCTCCATAGAAAGGCCATCAAGGTAAAAATTCATCTTTATTTATAGTGTTTTGATATTTAGCAAAAGTGAGATAAAATGTCTCAGTTCTTTACATTAGAGAGCTCTTGGGATTCTCTCTCCCATCCTGAGGGAAAAGTCCCTACTGTGAAGAGCCAATGTTACTGATACTCTTTATCTGTTCCTTCTGGAGTGCCCTGAGAGAAAAGATTGAAAACTTCTGTTCTACATTTTAATACAGAAAATTGAATGTATTAGTTTCCTATTGCTGTGTAACAAGCTTAAAACAAAACCTATTTACAATCTCATAGTTTTATGGGTCACAAGTCCAAGCATAGCTTAACTGAATTTTCTGTTCAGGGTCTCACAGGCTGAAATCCAGGTGGGCTGCAATTTTATCTGAGGCTCAAAGTTGGCAGAATTCAGTTCTTTTCAGGTGTAGGACTGAGGTCCCCACTTTTTTTACTTGTTATCACTGGGGCCCAGACTCGGCTCTTAGAATCCCCCACCATTCATTCCCCTACCACATGGTCCTCTCCACAATATGGCAGTTTGTTTCTTCAAGGTTAGCAGAATGATTTCTAATTATTTTAATCTGAGTTCTTGAGTGGCTCACCTGATTAGGTCAGAGTCAACTAGAATAATCTCCCTTTAAGATTCACACAAAGTCAACTGATTAGTAATCCACTAATATGATAGCCTATGAGCTCTGGTAACATAGTGCCTGAGGCACTTGACTGCTAACCAGAAGGCTGGCGATTTAAACTCACCACCCACTCCTCAGAAGAAAGGTTGGGAAATCTTCCATAGTGATACTGCCTTAAAAACCCAAGGAGGGGTCACTATGACTTGACGGCAAATAACAATAATATGATAGCCTACCATATTCACAGGTCTGCCCATGCTAAAGGAGAAAGGATAATACATGATGTATACACCAGGATGTAAGGATCCTGAGGCCATAGTAGAATTCTGCCTGTGACACTGAATATACAGCTCTTCGAAAAATAGAAGATTACACCAAAGAAATAGTGCACAGTAATACACAAGGCATTCATAGGTAAAAGACCATAGGTTCAGGCAGTGGAGAAGGTCCCCACTGCACAAGAACAAGAGAAGACACAAGTAAGCTAAATGGGAAAATGTCTGAAAGGCTGGCAGAGAACTTATGTGAGAGAAATCATCAGAAAGTTCAAGCTGATATATGGACTGGGTAAATTGGAAATTCACCAAAAATGCCAGCATGGCCAAACAGTGAAACATGGAAATAAAGTCAAGAGAGGCAAGATAGAGGGTAGAAGAGATGAATTCAGGATGAGAAAGACAGGAAAAAGCCTTTACTGAGGAACATCCTCATTTTGTGGACTTTTACATAAATAGTAACTTCTCAAATCCATGTTACCCCTTTTTAACTAAGTTAAGAGTCACATTTAGATTCTCAGATCAACATAATTTTAGCAATCATATGCCATCCTCCTCATTTTATAGCATCAAGAAAGAACAGAGTTTTCAACTGGCATGTGGCACTATCCTTTGTGGTTCTCTGCCTGCTCGACATAAATTCTGAATGCCTTAGGATCATATACAAAGCTCTTTATGTAGGAGGGGGAGCTGCCAGCCTTTTCAGTGACTTCTCCCACTTAACTCCTTAGGATCCCTATAAGCCAGCCACACAGAATAACCTGAAAATGCCCAACTGCAACATGCATTTGCCTGTGCCATCTCCTCTTCCAACATTCCCATCCCCCTTTCACTAGCTGATGTACTATTTAACGATTCATCTGTTAGAAGGCATCAGCTGGCCTTCTGTACAACAGGATCACTCTCAGCTTGCCTGGATCCCTCTCTCTTACCTTGAAAAAGGAAAAGATTGGAGGGAGGGATGTTATGTTGTTGTTGTTGTTAAGTGCCGTCGAGTCGTTTCCAACTCATAGCCACCCCATGCACAGCAGAACGAATCACTGCCCAATCC